AGGTTCAGGAATGCTCAGGATACAGTTCTCCTATCAGGACAGCCTCTTCTCAGCCGTGCCTGCAGACACACCTGTCTCTGGCAATTAGCCCCTCAGCCTGGCCTCTGCCCTGCTTGGGCAAGTGTTACAAGGCTCTTTTAGCTCTGCCAAGAAGTACCAGAGGCACCCCACTCCGCCAGTAAGCCTCCGCCCAAAAGTGCTAAGCTTTAGCTCCGTGGGTTGGCAAACCTAGTTCCACCAATTGTTCAGAGGCACCCTACTCCACCAGCAAGCATCCTGCCCAAAGGCACTCAGCTTTCTAGCTCTATGGGCCAGGAGGCCCACCACACCATCTCCTGCCAGTCTCCTTGCAGCTCCAGGGGAAGGCTTTCTCTCTCTGTCAGCTCTGCAGGAAGGTCCTTGTCATTAATCTTCTCCCGTCTAGGAGCTTCTCAGCACAGGGACCCCAGGTCTAGAGGACGTGCTCCGCTCCTGATGCTTCTTTCTTGGTGGCATGCAGTCCCTCTCTCTCTGCTCGCTTCTCTCTTCTATATCTCAAAAGAGATTGACTCAAGATACAACCTAACCCTGCAGACTGAGTCCTGCCTCATTAACATAATTGCCTTTAATCCTGCCTCATTAACATCATAGAGGTTAGGATTTACAACACATAGGATAATCACATCAGATCACAAAATGGTGGACAACCACACAATACTGGGAATCATGGCCTAGCCAAGCTGATATACATTTTGGGGGGACACAAATCAATCCATAAGATGTGAAGTTTATTTCTTTTTAAATAAAATTGAGCCAGCCTTTCTCTTATTCCATATTCTCTCAGCTTCCCCCATAATGAGCAGCAGCTTTTTAGAATCTCATTTAAGTCCCAATGTTGTTGTTGGGAGACACCGAGTTGCTTTTTGACTCATAGCGACCCCATGGGACAGAGTAGAACTGCCTCATAGGGTTTTCTAGGCTGTAATCTTCAAGGGAGCATATCACCAAGTCTTTTCCACCCTGGAGAGGCTGGTTAGCAGCCAAGCACTTAACCATTGTACCACCAGGGCTCCTTAAAGTCCCACTAACCTTCCTTAGGAAGGCGCCCTGGTGACACAGTGGTTAAGCGTTTGGCTGCTAACCGAAAGGTCTGTGGTTTGAACCCACCAGCTGCATCGAAGGAAACAATGTGGCAATCTGCTTCCATAAAGATTACAGCCTTGGAAACACTATGGGGCAATTCTATCCTGTCCTACAGAGTCACAGTGAGTCAGTATTGACTTGATGGCAACGGGTTTGTTTGAACTTTCCTTAGTAGCTTTCTTGCTAAATTTTAGTTTCCACTTCTAAAAAAAAAAAAGGATATATAAGCACGTGTGCATAAAATTGCAGAACTAGAGAAATACTGAAGTACACATCAGTAGACCATTCTATATTCTCAGCCATCAACTGTGCCAATTGCCTAAAATAATGCATATCACATAATAATGGAGGACAGAAAGAACAATCCCAATTATCAGATGTTAACTTCTTTTATATGCTGTCAACATGTAAGGTAGCTAAAAAAGAATGAAACAGAATTTTCCTGGCACTGATTACTTACACTCAGTATCTTGCACCAAAACCAAGCGCTCTGAAAAAATGTGTAAAGTTCTGCAATTTTAAGCCAATTAGATGTACAAGAGTCTCAAAAGATGATAGCAGTGAAATCTAGACAAACATGGATGTACTACATAAATTGTTAGCATGTATGGGAGAACTTCATAGAATGAAGTGTTTTGAGAATGTTACAAACAAGAAATTAAACAGTTAAGAGTTTAGAGTTATTTTAATATTGGTACTATATTAAACTTCAGTGACACATCATGTAGTTATGACACTCCTCAAATTCAACAGGTTTTAAAAACCTGTTCTTCCTCCTAATCTCCATTACATGTAAATGTCACTCCAGTCTTCTGATAATTTGTATTAAATCCATAGTTCCTTTACCTCATTCCAGCCCTCACATCACAGCCAACCAGTTAACAAGTCTTAGTGATTCTTCCTTCAAAATCTCTCTTGTATGGAATCCTACCTTTTCACTCTTTTGGTGGCTGCACTAGTTTTGGCCCTTTATGCAACTACCTAATTCACCTCCACATGGCTCTCCCTGATCTAATTCAGACTGCTCATCATCACTACCTTGATTTGGGTAAAACGCTAGCTCATCATTATTTGCCAAAGTGCCCGTATCTTTAGTCTGGCCTTCCAGAGCTTCTATAATCTGGCCTCAACACACTCTTTTAGTATTATCTACCATAACTATAGAGACTTCCCACACTGATCCACTTGCTAACTCCAAACATAATTTTCTACCTTCAAGCCTTTGATTGATCTATTATTCATATTATCTAGGATTCTATGGTCATTCAGGTTGTGTGTCAACTAGGCTGGGCCATGATTCTAAGTGGTTTGACAGTTATGATGTAGTTTGGCAGTTGTATGATGATGTGATCACTTCCATGATGAGATTGGATACAATGTGATCACCTCCATGATGGGATCTGCTGTGAGCAGCCAATCAGTTGAAAGGGAGTTTCCTTAGGGGTGTGGCCTGCATCCAGTATAAGTGGACTTTCTGGCAAGGCTCATGGGCTTTTGCTTGCTCTGGATCCTGCAGCTGGCTCCTATACGTCTGACCTCTGATTCTTGGGACTTGAGCTAGCAGCTTACCTGCTGTCTTGCCTACCAACCTTGGGATTTGTCAATCTTCACAGCCTGGGGGCAAGAGCCCTGCTGTCTATCTTGGGTTCGCCAGCCCCTGTGGCTAAGTGAATCAGGAGAAGCCTCCAGCCTGGTCCACAGACTCGGGATGTTCCAGCCTCTACAACCATGTGAGCCATTTCCTTGATATAAATTTCTCAATATATTTATACACTTTACTGGTTTTGCTTCTCTAGAGAACCCAGCCTAACACAGATGCCGTAAGCCCATCCACCACAAAGCAAAGAAACAAAGATGACTGAAATCCTGCCACCTTAAAGACCAACTTAAATTCCCATGAAGTCTAACCTCATAACCCCCAGCAGAAAATGCTTCTTCCTTTTTCCTCTGAGATTTTAGAACATCTCACCAAAAGCATCTAGAGCCAGAGCTGGTTCACATCTCTATAACTTCACTCACATGGCAGACATACGAATGTGTGAGTAAATGAATCAGAAAGTATATTAAAAATGTAAGGCTAAGTGGTTGCTTAAAAATATCTATGGCTAATAAAGAACCCAAAGTTGAGAAGGGTAGATGGTTGACATATCATGGAGTCGGTAATCAATGTCAAAAAACAGTATGTATACTAATTGTTTAATGAGAAACTAGTTTGTTCCATAAACCTTCATCTAAAGTATAATTTAAAAAAAAAAAGAATGGAAAAAAAATATCTATGGCTATATTTTTTTTTTACTTTGGACATATTTTCAGGAGGGACCAGTCCCTGGAGAAGGACATCATGCCTGGTAAGGTAGAGGGTCAGCGATAAAGAGGAAGACGCTCAACATGATGGACTGACACAGTGACTACAACAAATGGGCTCAAACATAACAGCAATTATGAGGATGGCGCAGGACTGGGCAGTGTTTCATTCTGTTGTACACAGGGTCGCTATGAATTGGAACCGACTCAATGGCACCTAACAACAACATTTTTTCAATAAAATGAAAAAGCTTTCTTTTATAAACTTGCTAATTGCTTAGCAAATGCCTCAATAAAAATTAAAAGGAAGTTTTCAAAGAAAATTCAGATATTTTTAACTATGCCATTAGATGCATATTAATAGTTTTTAGAAATGGTTCTTATTTCTGCAAAGATGTATACGTGTCAAATGCCCTTTCATAGGACAATGCTCAAACATGTCAATAAAATACAGCTTTCATAAAATATTATTACATTATTTCTAGAAAGGAAGCCACTTTCACCACCATAAATACTACATCATTAGATAAAGTTCCAATATAGAAAGTATAATACATGACAAATTTCCATACTGTATTAGCTCACTAAGGCAAATATATTTATGTCCGCTGTACTAAAGTGTATTTCAATAAGAAATAACAAATGGAATTTCCTTATGGTGAAATTAATCATTTTCATCACTTGATTACAAGTTGGTTGTATGTATGGACATACAAATGTATATGAGTGTAACCTTGATTGTACATAGTTTATTCTGTCAGCAGCAACACTGTGTGCTGAATTGGCCTCTACATTATGTAAACGATACAAAGAAGTTGGAATCTGTTAAAGGAAAAACATCAGCGTTCAAAAGCAGGGGAAAGAGAAGGTAAAACAGACTGATATAAATAGGACTGATGGACATTTGATGGTTGCTTCTCTGTTGTCTATCCCTTCCCCTCTCCCCTTTTCCCAAAGCTTTAGGTTTTGTTGGGGATCCCTGTGGTTCTGAAGAAGGTGACTCTAAGTCTGTTTCCAGGGGTGGCATAAACTAATCAAGGCTAAGAATGTGACCTAAGCCAGTAAAAAGAGTGAATTTCATGACTTGTCTCCTTAGATGTAAACACAAATGCTTATAGCCCCAGCGGAACACAGTCTCTCGGCTGGAAGGGGAGCCAGCCTTAGGATGATAATAACCCCTCTAAAGACAGAATGATGGGAGGAAATTGTGTCCTTGATGTTATTATTGAGCCAAAGCAATGAATCTTGTCTAATTGAGCCCTACCACTGTACTTCTTGGTTATATGAGTCAGTAAGTTCTCATTATCAGTAAAGCCAGTTTGAGATTTTGTTTTTAGATATTTGCAAACAAAAGAATCCTAAAAGATACAGAACAAACATGCAATATTGGGCTATGATTATGTAAAACACTTGCTGTAAAAACAGTTTTTGTTTTTTTATCTAAGGAAAATCTTAAAATCAGTGATCCAAAAAACGCACAGAAGCAGAGATTTTTTTAAAAATGACAATAACTGGAAACTATACATTTAAGAGGAGAATCATTTTAAAGCTTCATCCGAAGTAAAATTTCTTACCTGATGGGGTACTATGTTTATATTCTATCTTGTGCTGGGGATTCTGCCTAAAAAACGAAAAGGAAGCAAAAATAAGATCTAGTTTTCCATATAAAGTCTACCCTCAAGTAGTGTTTTCTAAGCACTAAAAATTAATCAGACTAAAAATCAATAAGACTAACTAGCATACAAATAAAATTAGGCCCCAAAATGCCTCTCATTGAAAAGCTTTTACATGTATAAGTGTGTATATATATACAAAAAAGCATAATCTAAAACAGTATATAAAATATACTATATATACAATATATATGGATAGTATGGAAGGATATTGCTAAGGCTTTTCTTGAAACCAAAGAAAAAAAAGTCAGTCATGTCAGTTCAAAGAACACCATTCATTATGAAAAAATTATAACCAGAAAAATCAGTGTGCACTGAGAAATGCATATAAGGTATTCCAAAGTCAAACAGAAACTATGCTTGAAGACCTATTTTTGATTATATGTATTGTGGTCCCTTCTATTATTTCATTAGTTAAATATTTTGGCACCCTACCTATAGAAGACATTCTGCAGATAATACAAAACTGTCCAGGCAGCAAAAATCCAAAGCAACTGGCTGATCATGATTACTTGATCGGTGCACCTTTCTTAGGGGACTGGCAAAGGAGGGCTGGGGTATACTGACAAGAGAGATGTGCTTAAGTGTACAACTTGCTAATATGTCTGTGTCAGAATTATTTTTACATGGCAAGAGTTCATTCATTCATTCAGTCATTATTGATTGGATGTTTCACTATGTTCTGACCCTAAGCAGGTACTGAGGATAAAACACTTAAGAAGATACATATTCTGGCCCTTAAGAAGGCGGAGTCTAGGGGTGGGGGTGGGGGGTTAGGGATAGACTTTAGATAAGCATTTTCTTCACCGAAAAATAAGAACTTCTTCTGTGAAGATGGGAAATAGTCCTTACGATACCTTCTAGGAAACAAGTATTAAGTCAAGCTTTAGACCTTCTTTTTGTCAGGGTAAATAACTACCTTGTTCTTCATTTTCTTTCTTTTCAATTGGGCAAATAAGTTAAAAAAATATATATATATAACCTAGGTAATACATGGATTTAAATTTTCCCATAAGTCCGCTCATTCAACCTCATATTTTTACAGTCATTCTGATGGATGAAAACAGCCAAACTCTCAGAGAGTAGATCTTTAGCCTCTAAATTCATCTATGATGTGCACTGTTAATCACAGGATATAAGCTCTAGGATTGATTTCCCAGAGCAGCTAGCCCAGGTCCTGCAGGTGGCAGATGAGCAATGTGAGCCCAAAGAGGTGAAGTCCTTGTCCAGGGTCTATGCTTTCCAACTTGGGTAAGGAAGTACTGAAGACAGCAGTCCTGGCAAACTTATTGACTGGATTTTTAAAAAACCATGTTTCTGTAATCATCAGGTGACTAAACGTTCCATTTATAAATTCCTTTATGGGACCACTATGAAAAACGTAGCCAACTGCTCTTTTTATAATTTAAAACAAGTATATAATTTTGTGTTTGAAATATTCCATAATAAAAGTTATATTTAAAAATATATTTTTCTCCTCTGTGCCTTCTACTCTATTGTGATGTAGATGAACATACAGATTAGAAGTAGTTTATTTTATTTTTAAACGCTTTTTAAATGTTTAAATGCTTTTTAAACATTTGTTGTTTCTAGAACTGCCTAACATTTTGCACTTGCTCCAAATATTCTTTATCTTCATCATAACTTGTTGGGCAATAGGAAGTAATTACAAATACATTATTTTAAATTAGTTGATATCATGGATTGAATTGTGTCCCCTCAAAATATCTGTCAACTTGGCTGGGTCATGATTCCCAGTATTGCATAATCTGTACCATTTTGTAATCTGATATGATTTCCTTATGTGTTGTAAATTCAATCACTATGATCTAATAAGATGGATAAGCAGCAGTTATACTGATGAGGTCTGCAAGAATAGATAGCGTCTTAATCCAAACTCTTTTGAGATATAAAAGAGAGAAGCACACACAGACACATGGGAATCTCATACCACCAAGAAAGCAGTACCAGGAGCACAGCGCGTCCTTTGGACCTGAGGTTCCTGCACAGAGAAGCTCCCAGACCAAAGGAAGATTGATGATACGGACCTTCCTTCAGAGCCAATGGAGAAAGCGTTCCCCTGGAGCTGACACCCTGAATTTGGACTTGTAGCCTACTGGACTGTGAGAGAATAAACTTCTCTTTGCTAAAGCCATCCACTCGTGGTATTTCTGTTATAGCAGCACGAGATGACTAAGACAGTTGATAACATCCAGAATAATAAAATGCATGATTGCTTGAGACCTGTGGTAATCATGGAATTTAGTTTCCAGGACAGGTTTAACTAGTGTTACTTTCAAGAGCTTCAGCGGAAAACCCTAGACTCTTCATCATGCTATCTAGTAGAACTTTCTGTGATGAGGAACATTTTCTAAACCCGTGCTGTCCAATTCAGTAGTTGCAAGCCACATACAGCTATTGAGCACTTGCAATGTAACTGGTGCATCTAAAAAACTGTATTTTTAATTTTATTTGACTTTAATTAATTTATATTTAAACATAAATTGCCACGTGTCTAGTGGCTATGGTATTGGACAGTGCAGTTTTAACTGAAAAGTCAAGAAAAGGGAAATCCTCTCTCCCCAACCAAGATTATTTTAAAATTAATTAAAAGGAAAAAAAACAAACCTTCTCCTTATGGACTGATCATGTAAAAAAGTAAAACTTCTATATAGGTCTAAACACTATTATTGAAAGTATTTATCAGAAGAGGGTAGTGACTAAAATCAGAAAGAGCCAGGATTCTTTTTAACGTTAGAATCCTGGCCCAGCTACTGGGATTTTGTCTAAGCTCAGTTTCTCATTTGTAAAAGAGGCACAGCAACAACGAGGATTCATAGATTATGCGCGATAAATTCTCAGCCTACGGGTCAGCAGGTGGCAAGGGATTAATGTTAGCCATTCATTCACTCATCACTTATTCAAGAAAGAGGTATGAAGCACTTATTACTTGTCAGGCCTGGTGTCAGATGTTTGTGACATTCCTTACTGCTAATATCTCTTCTCTTTTTGTTGTAACCCTTCCTACAATATGAACGTGAAACACAGGGCCAGAGGGCAACCACACAGTTAATTAGGGTCATAACTCAACAGTGATTGAGAAGTGGAAAAAAGATTGTACAATGGATTGTGCATTTGGGGTAATTAACCCAAATCTGATCTTTTCATGGAAAAGAAACTTCATGCTAAGTGAAATAAGCTGGACAATTTAGATGTGATGAAGGGAACTACAAATGAACAAAGCTGCAGTGATGATTCATGGGAAGATCTTTTCCTACTGAACACACAGGCACAGGTCACCAACTTGTTTAATTCATTATTACTTGAAGTGCAATAAATGCTGAACACCAGGAAAGGAGGAAGAGAAAAAAGAGGGCCATCAATACTGAAGTTATTCTCCACCTTTTAACCTAGAAAAACATGACTGGTCATTTTAGTAACTTTTCAAAAAAATTCAAATTTACAGAAAAGTGGCAAGAATAGTACACTGAAATTCTACATACCTTCATTTAAATTCCCCACGTAGTAATATTCTACATGTTTGCCTTATCATTATCTATTTTCTTTCTTTCTTCCTCCCTCTCTCTGTCTACACTTATTTGAGATTTAAAGGCTTTTTTCTCTCTTTTTAATGCATGTTTGCTTCAAGTACCAAGCAGTCTTATCTTTTTCACTTTGCCCTGAACAAAGCAGGATTACTGAAAGGTTAAACATGGTCTTAACAGCTTCAACAGCTGCTTTATAAACTCTCAAGTAAATAAATGTCAGACTTAAAAACAAATACACAAATAGAACAAGGGAGTTAACAGAGACTCTAGTACAGTTTATGCACCAAAATATTGGTTAAAAAAATTAATATAAATAAAATCATCACTGGAAATGAAAAAAATAAATATCCTGTGTAATAGGTTCAAAAGTTTTCTGTCTTTGGAATTTTAAATATACTTTATTCTTTCTGGATGATAAATACAACTCACAGAATAGACAGACTTTAATAAGACAATGAGCATGAACAGAAAAGATACTATATCATATGCAAAAGCAAACACTCAAGATTAAAACAAATTTCAGACATGCTTACTTCACATAGCATTTTATATCTTAGTGAAATTAAGTATTCTGAACACTAAATTTTTTAATTATTCTCTCATTCAAGGCCAGCACTCGTCTGTCAGGTTGTCATACCGTGGTGGCTTGTGCATTGTTGTGATGCTGGAAGTTGTGGCACCAGTATTTCAAACACCAGCAGGGCCACCTAAGGTGGACAGGTTTCAGTGGTGCTTCCCTACTAAGACAAACTAGAAGAAGGACCTGGCAATTTACTTCTGAAAGAAATGGCCAGTGAAAACATTATGGATAGCAGCGAACACTGTCAGGTTGGAAGGCACTCGAAATACGGCTGGGGAAGAGCTGCCTCCTCAAAGTAGGAGTCGACCTTAATGATGTGGATGGAGTTAAGCTCTTAGGACCTTTGTTTGCTGATGTGGCACGACTCAAAATGAGAAGAAACAATAGCAAACATCCATTAATAATCAGAACATGGAATGTACAAAGTATGAATCAAGGAAAATTGGAAGTTGTCAAAAATGAAATGCTTGAAGACTGATATACCAGACATCAGTGAGCTGAAATGGACTAGTATTGGCCATTTTGAATCAGACAATCATATGGTCTACAATGCTGGGAATGACAAACTGAAGAGGAACAGCATCTCATTCATTGTCAAAAAGAACATTTCAAGACCTATCTTGAAGTATAGTATTGCCAGTGATAGGAAAATATATATACGCCTATAAGGAATACCAGTTAATACAGCTATTACTCAAATTCATGTACCAAACAGAAATGCCAAAAATGAAGAAATTGAAGATTTTTACCAAATTCTTCAGTCTGAAATTGATCGAACATGCAATCAAGATGCATTGATAATTACTGGTGATTGGAATGC